CATAAAATATTTCACTGCTACTTCGTAACTGTACTGTTATGAATTGTAAATTAAATATCTGATATGCAGGATATCTGATATGTGACCCACTTGTCCTGGCCAAGGGGTTGCAATCCACAGGTTGAGATCCATTGGTCTAGGGTCTCTAAAAGCTAAAAATAGAACTATAATGTGACCCAGTTATACCACCCCTGGGCATAGACCCAAAGGACTTTATATCCTAGAGATAATGTTCATTGTCACTCTATTCACAAAAGCTAGGAAATGCAATCAACTTAGATGTCCACAAATAGATGTAAGGATGTAAGGAAAACTGTAGTACATATACACATGGGAATAGTATTTAGCTGTAAGAAAATGAAATTTGCATAGAAATGGTTACAGCTAGAAAATATTATGCCAAGTGAGATAAGCCAGGCATAGAAAGATAAATGTTACATAGTCCCTCCCTTATGGAGACATTTGCCTTGACTTTTACAGTTTGTGTGTTGGGGGGGGATGTATTAATGAGAGAAGGGGGCAACACTGGGTATTAAATGTCTACAAGGGGGTGGGGGCAGGGGAGTGAGGGAGAGGAGTGATGGGAATGGGTTAATTAAAACTAAAGATGTATGGGAAAGCCTTATGGAAACCTACCACTTGTAACCTAGTTTGTTAATTTTTAAAGGCGTTTAAATGGGTGTGCTTTGAATGGGTAGCTTGATATCTGTAGAAGACATGGATTATTAAATAAAAATCTCAGCACCAGGCATGAGATATCTTCCTATGAGTTAGTGGTCAGGGAAGCCCAACAGGCCTCCAAAACAACACAAACTGTTGCTATTGCCCTTGGATGTCTGCCGTGATTAGCTGGTTAAGGCACTATTACTGAAGACATTGCACACTGTGATTATAGGACGCTAGGAAATCAATCTCCTCTTGGTTTGGTTTGGTTTGGCTTTTGGTTTTTGGGTTTTTGAGATAGGATTTCTCTGAGTAGTGCTGACTGTCCTGGAACTCTCTCTGTAGACCAGGGTGGCCTCGAACTCACATAGATCTGCTTTCCTCTGCCTCCCAAGTGCTGGGATTAAAGGTGTGTGCTGACTGGACAACATCTTCCCTTGTGGCTAACTTTCATAGTAAGAAGGCATTATGCAGGCCACCAGGAGAGAAAAGCTATTAATAGTCGTACCCAGTACTGGACCCTGAATGCATGCTACAGTACCAGGCTTCTAGGCAAGATGTATGTCCTAGTTAGGGTTACTATTGCTGTGACAAAGCACCATGACCAAAAGCAACTCAGGGAGAAAGGGGTTTATTTGGTGTATGCTTTCACATCACTGTTCATCACTCAAGGCAGTCAGGACAGGAACTCACACAGGGCAGGAACCTGGAGGCAGGAGCTGGTACAGAGGCCTTGGAGGGGTGCTGCTCACTGGCTTGCTCCCATGACTTCTTCAGTCTGCCTTCTTATAGAACCCAGGACCACCAGGCCAAGGATGATACCACCCACTATGGGCTGGATCCTCCCCCATCAATCAGTAAATAAGAAATTGCCCTATAGGCTTGTCTACAGCCTGACCTTATGGAAGGATTTTCTCAGCTGAGGCTCCCTCCTCTCTGATAACTCTAGCTTGTATTAAGGCAACATAAAACTAGCCAGAACGGTGTACCTAGTGGCTTGAAAGTTCCAGGGGCAGCCAACTGCTTCTGATTGGATTTGATGCCTACTTCTGTCTATCCAGAAGAAGAATCAAGATAATAACTCCATTCAAAGAACATTTTGCTTTGGCTGTTTAAGCTGTATCATTTCTTCAAGTATTATCTAACTTTTAAGAGAGTTGTTATCATCTTGTTCAGTGAGAAGACTGAGCTAATCTATATGCCTGCAATTCTAGCTACTGCGGAGGATAAGACAGAATTGTTTGATTCAAGGCCTTCCTGAGCTACAGTGTGAGTTCAAGACCAGCCTTGTCAACATAGTTGAGTTTCTGTCTCAGAATATAAAGTAGAAAAGGGAATCTGAGGGTGTAGCTCATTGGTAGAGCAATTGCTTCACATGTACAAGGCCCAAGTTCAATTTCCAGCACTGCAATAATAATAGTAGTAATAATAAATTGTTTTAAAAAGGCTGTGAGCTGGGGGGGGGGCTTTTATTCCAGCCATCTGGAGGCAGAGGCAGGTGGATCTCTGAGAGTTCAAGGCCAGCCTGGTCTTCAGAGAGAGTTCCAGGACAGGCTCCAAAGCTACAGAGAAACCCTGTCTCGAGAAAAAAAGAGAAAGGGCTGTGGATACAGGTCAAGGTAGAGCACTTTTCTCTCATATGACAGGCCCCCAGATTTGACCTCTAGTACTGAAAAGAGAGACACACAGACAGACACACACACACACACACAGACACACACACACACACACACAGACACACAGACACACACACAGACACACACACATACAGACAGACACACAAACAGACACACAGACAGACACACAGACACACACACAGACACATACACAGACACACACAGACACACACACAGACACACACACAGACACACACACAGACACACAGACAGAGACACAGACACACACACAGACACACACACAGACAGACAGACAGACACACAGACAGACAAAGTTTGAAAATTTCCTCTGCTCTCCATTCTCATGCTCACCCTGACAAATCCCCCTACAAAACTGTAGTTCCTCCCCACTTCTTCTTGTCTTGTTTTCCTCCCTGACACTCATTTCTTTTAGCTACAAAGATCTACGCTTTAAAAATATATGGCATTTTTATTCATTCTTTCAGGGTTTCATACAAACACACAATGTGTTTTGACATTGCTCGTTCCCCATTCCTCCCCAACTCCTCCTGGGTTTTATTTACTTTTTTATTGCCTATCCGACCCTTTTCACATATCAAATTCATGGGAGAACAGGGCTGCCTTTGTTTGCTGCTGTTTTCCCAGCACACAAAATACCTGGCATGGAGTTAATACTCAATAAATATTTGCAGAATAAAAAAGTTAATGAAAGCTGCCTCAGACTGCAGAGATAGTAGTTGGTGGACTCAGTATTTGGACCCAAGGCTATAATCCCCCCATCCCCCCACCCTACCCCCACCAGCACACTGTCATACATGTTGCTGTAAGTAGAACTCACTTCATGTTTTGTGTGCTAGGGTTTCTATCACAAAAGAACAAAAACTAGAAATTTATTTCTCATGATTCTGGAACTTTGAGAAGTCTATGACCCAGGTGATTTTTTTAAAAATGGCATCTGAGATAAGGATCCACTTCCTGGTTCACAGACAGTGTCTTCCTCACATGCCTAATGGGACATGTGAGGGGCATCTTTCTTAGGTTATTTTTACAAATAGTGAACACCACTGATAAGGCCTCAGCCCTCAAGACCTAATAACATCCATCCATAAGGCTTCACTACCTAGTACTGGGATCTCAACTTATGAATGGGCAGGGCATGCAAATAAGCAAGCGCTCGCACTTGGACTACTCTTTTGTTAGGATTCATCTGATTTCACATCAAAATACTTTGCAGGAATTCCAGGCTACCCTGGCCTTTCTTGGGTTACTCACCCTGTGAGAATATGCTGTTAGTGTATTTGCTTGAACACCACAGAAGGACATGTGGATGAAAGTCCTTACTTGAGGTTCTAAGCCCATCAAAAAGGGCAACTGAGGAAGGGTTATCGCACCTTTGTACATCTCAGCAAATTGATCAGCTGTGGATACTCTGTTCAGTCCTAATTGTCTTGCATTCCTAGAGTTCATATTAATGATGGAACCCCAAAACATGCCAAAAGTCTCCAAAAACAAGCCAGTTTTTATGACAATGAAGTTGGAAAACAGGTGTGTACATTATAGCTAAGATTGCATTCCTACCCCACTAAACCAAATAACAGCAACAGCAAACATAGGACATTCTCTAAGAAAACACACAGAAGCATTAATGTGAAGCTTTTTAGAGCCAGGAATAATTTCTTTTCTTTTTAGTCTTATGTATTTATTATATTATTTTTGTAATAGAAAATGCACTATTTTTTAAAAGTTTAAAAGTAAAACAAGGGTTGGGGCAATTTAAAAAAGTAAAACAAATGCATTTGATATAGCTTTTGGGGCTAATAAAGTGTTTTTACAAAGACAGCAATCATTTTATTGACTGCCATTATGTGATAAGCATTTATAGTTCCTCTAAGAAGACGAAGTTATAGGCCAGGATTGGTGGCTCACACCTTTAGTCCCAGCACTCGGGAGGCAGAGGCAGGTGGATCTCTGTGAGATTGATGCCCATCTGGTCTACAGAGCGAGTTCCAGGACAACTTTCAAAGCAATCAGAGAAACCCTGTCTTGAAGAACTAAAAGAAAAAAAAAGAAAAAAATGGCTAAGTTATTTTAGAAAGCTTAAAACAGCAGGGATGCAGGACATAAAGGTTTTGTTGGCTTTTATAGCACGTCAAGCATGGATTAGACTTATTAATAATATGCAGAAGACATACACAGCCCTCTGCTCTGACCATCTGACCCTTCCTTCCTTTTCTATACACAAAACAAACTGTCACAGCTGGGTTTCCTTCAACCCAGGCAAGGGTATTCACGTGACACTGAAGCCTGCAGTGGATTTTAGGTGCAAACACTCTCTCCACTCACACAAGATGAAAGTCCTCAGTTCTGCCCTTTGCCACTGTGGCGATCTCACGGGCCACCCCTTTTCCGACCCCAGTGTTTCTGTCTCCTTGTGGCTATTTTCTGTGTGCCCGTCTTCTCAACTACATTGGCAGCCATCATCTCTCTTCCTACGCCCGCAGAGTTGACCAAAGCAAGACTACATACATGCCTACTGAGAAAGGGGAACAAGAAGAAAGCAGAACTAATTTATGGACACACCAACAGTCTTGGTGACACCTTGTCCTCCAAGAACAATAGGGCAGTAATTCGCTTGGCTTGGCCGGCCAGCCAGCCCATGATAAAAGGCAATGAATGACAATAAATGGAAAGACAAAAAAATAAGTTTATAAGCAGGATAGCTTTAAACATTTTATTATCATTTTAAATGAGAAGGTTCAGACCTTTAATCACATAATTAATAGCCCAAGAAGATGCTTGTCTGGACACAGGGCATACCAACTTCAAGCACCCCAGTGAGGATGCCCAGGAGCAAGTTGGGCAGAGCAAGGTACAAATTAGAAATTCTTTTACAGACAGCAACGTCTAAACTCCTCTGATGTGCCTCAGGAATCTGTTTCCAGAGAGTCGTGTTCTGTTATCCCTGAGGGAGCCATCCTGACTGGCAGTCGGAAACCTAGAGGGTGGGGGACAATTGGGAAGATGCTGTGTGCCTTTAGTGAGAGTAACAATGTTTCTTTCCAGAATAAAGTGCCCATTTCATCAATACCTCATTCACATCTGTGTGTGTGAACATATGCCCATGCACACAACCACAGGGCCAAGCATAAATTCCACCTGGGCCTAGTGTCGGTGCTGATTAGAACTCGCTTCTTCAGTTTTCTTTTGTGCTTGTCTTGCTGCCAGGGTATGGTAAAGAATTCAGGAAGGTACCCTAAACCAAAAGTGAAAAGTTGAGGTCTTCTCACCATCACATTCTGGTTCATCTCCAAGTCTGCTTGCTTCTTGCAATGATGATGATGATTGTTAACAATGATGACCATGATAGCCTTGACCCAGTGGCTACACATGAGCAGCAGCTGATGTTGCAGAACCCTGGCTGGGAGAAGGAGCAGTGAGTTGTCCTGAGGCTTTGATGTCAAGCCAAAGGCAGAGGAGAGAAACTCAAGTGAGGGAAGGGCCAAAGCAACCATGTAAAATGGGCAACTCTAACGGAGGAGTCAGCCCTCCAAAGGGACACGGTGCAGGGGGATGAGATGACATCATGTTCAGTGTTGACCTGAATTCAGTGCTCACAGCACCTGGGACAAACAAACCTTAGCCAATAATTCCTGGAGGTTCTGGGTGAAGACTCTAGCTTATCCAAGAAGTCTCTAGAGAGGCTTTTTATTTTCTTTTGTTGTTGTTGTTGTTGTTTTGGTTTTGATTTTTGTGACAAGGTTTCTCTGTGTAGCTCTGGCTATCCTGGAACTCACTCTGTAGACTAGGCTGGCCCCAAATTCACAGAAATCCTCCTGCCTCTGCCTCCTGAGTGCTGGGATTAAAGATGTGTGCCACTATCATCTGGCTTCTCTAAAGAGGCCTAAGGAGTCCAGAGAAGCAGGCTGTGACTGAAATGTACTAAGGAAAAAGAGAAAGGTGACCACATACATGGTCACTGTCAGGCAACTCTGCACAGAGCGCCAGGTGTAAGGCAAGAAGAAACCAAGGGACTAATACCTCTGTGCCTTTAGCAGAGCTGGCTCAGGAGTAGACTCTGTGGGCCTTGACATTGTAGTAGAGCTCATAGTACTGAGGGAAATCAGAGATGGGCTCAAGTGATGTGGGATAATGCTCTTGTACACTGTAAAGATTTGTCACTGCTATTGCTTTAATAAAACACTGATTGGCCAGTAGCCAGGAAGGAAGTATAGGTGAGATTACCAGACTAGGAAAATTCTGGAAGGAGGAAAGACATAGAAGAGTCTCCATCCAGATGCAGAGGAAGCAAGATGAGAATGCCTTACTGAGAAAAGTAAGCGGCTAAACATAGATAATAATTATGTGTTAATTTAAGTTGTAAGAGCATGTTAGTAATAAGCCTGAGCAATAGGCCAAACAGTTTTTAATTAATATAAGCCTCTGTGTGTTTATTTGGGACTGAATGGCTGCAGGACTGGGCAAGATTGAAACTTCCATCTACACTCAAGATTCAGTACCTGGGCATTAAGTAACAGACAAGACCCACGGAAGGGCAAAAGTATTTAAATAACCATGAAAAATTAAAACTTGACATCTACATCTACCCCAGGCTGAAAGGTAACAGAAACCTGTTTGAAAATTTTGTGTTTCCACAAAGTGAGCATATATGTAAAAATCAATACTCAGAATACTCTAGCATGCCTCTGTTATAGATGGGTAGAAAGCCTAGTCCCCAGGACCAGGTGCCACCCCCTTTGATATGAAGAAGTAGGAGCAAGGACAACCATCTTGCAAGAGATGCCTCTTAGAAGAAAGCTCCCTCCAAAGACAGAAAGAACTCGCAACCAGGAGAAACTTTAACAAACTGGCATCTTGACACTTTGGGAAGAACCCCACAACAACAGCTGAACATCTGCCCTTCACCAGATATGTCCTGACCGGCTGGAAGGGTGCAGAACAAGCAACCCCTCACCCAGCTGTGGACTCTCTTGTCTTTCAACTCAAGGGAAAAGTCAACCACTCAGAAACAGAGAGGCTCCCCAGAGCATAGGTTAGTGTTTTCCATTCCGGCTGCATCTAGAATCATTTTGAAAGTTTTCTTTAAAAACAGCAGTTCCATGACTCTGTCCTTAGAGACTGTGGCTTTCTCTGCCTGGGAAAGCGGTCTGTCTGGGGATGTTTTGAAAGCACCACAGGTGAGCCACACAGTTGGACTGGAAGTGCCGTTTCTCAAACCCCAGCTACATATGATTCTCTTATGATATCACAAAGCACACAGACAAGTCCTTGTCTTTTTAGCTACCTCTCAGTTCACACCCAAACTGTTTGTCCACAGGCCGTGTGCTGAGGTGTAAGAGAATAAGAATCTGCAACAGGAAAGGGAGTTCCACCCAGGGCTCTTGGTACGAGTGCTCCCTAGCCACTGTACACCCTGCCCATCCCAATCTGTGGCCTCTGCTTTAGCAGTCCATCAAGTTGAACAGATGTCCCAGGGCTCAGAAATGACCCTCTGAGTTAGTTATGACACTAAGCAATAGCCCAAATGTCCCAAGTCTTCAAATAAACCAGGACAAACGCTAATGGGAATCCCGCAGTGGAGGGATTGGAGTCAGGCAGTGAACTTTTGAAAAAATGCATCTGCTTTTGTTGTACTTTGGCTCTGTTTGTGGGGAGAGTCCACAAGCAGAAACTGGTGCAGCTCTGGCTAGGACAGAAGGCAAATAGGGCTGTAAGTGAGGAAGAGACAAGTTAAGGATGGGGGGGGCTCCAGTGCAGAGCGCTACAGGCCATATCAATATGTAATACATCTCTGTTGACCAGACATGGTCACATCTAGATGAGACTCTTGGATACCTCCTACACTGATGGCTATGTTTGTGTATCTCTTCTTCACTACTGTCTCTTCAACTCCCTTTCCTTGCCAAAGTGTCCAGCAAGATGAACTGTGTACCCCCCTCCCCCGAACTATCAGATGAGTGCATTCCTTCTGCCTTACCTCTCAGCTCAGGGACCATCTCCTCACTGGGGCTCCTAGCACAGGAACCCCTCATACAACAGTCTCCCTCACACACTTCCAATAACTGTACTGAAAACACCCATTCTGTAAGGCCCTGTCTCACTCGTGAGTTTCTCTTCTAGACATTCCAAACCACTTCCAGCCCTGACTTTCTTGGACACATCTAAAGTATTCTCTTGTTGTCTGTGACTTGGCCGTACTCTGTTGCTCTCAACTTAACATCTTTTCATAAGAATATGGAGTATCTCTAGCGACGTCATAAACTTCTGTTTGGTGTCCATGTCCTTCCTTTATCTCCCTGCCTAGTAGGGTTCTTTGCAAAATAATAGATGCTTGGTAAAATCTGTCTCGTGTTCATCACAATTTCTGAACCTGGGATTCTCAGAGGCAGGGAAGATTCCTGGGAATCTGTACTCACGGGCTTCTAACCAAGAGCAAACGTGGCCCCTCTAATTTGAAAGTGTTTTGCTGTTGTGTGGCACCTTGCAGTCCCACTCTAGATTCTCTCAAAGCCCAGCTTTAAGTTCAGACAGAGCCAAGTGTTGGTGGCGCATGCCTTGAATCCCAGCACTCCGGAGGCAGAGGCAAGCGGATCTCTGAGAGTTCGAGGCCAACCTTGTCTACAGAGCGAGTCCCAGGACAGCCTCCAAAACAATACAACCAAAAAAAAAAAAACCAAACCAAAAAATCAACAACAACAAAAAAACCCAGTTCAGACAGACCTCCCCTCTGGTCTGACCTTGTGCAGGGGTACACATCTATTTCCATAACGCAACCCTCAGGCTCATGTTCACTCCTCCTGAGGACGTCTGTCTAAGTTCCTTGCAGAGTCAAGTCTTCAGCCTGTGCCTCTGAAGAGAAAAACAAGAGGGTGTGGTTGGGAGACAAGCCGAGTCCCTGCCAAGTAAATGTCTTCTGGAAAAACTGCTCATGCAGAGCAAACAGGTATGACCACTCTGCTCCCTGTGCCTACCCAAGGCTACAGATGTACCCATAGCAAGCCACCCAAAATTCTCTACACAGGCCCAAAGACATCTCTATGGGGGGGCATGACCGCCACAAACAATAATAATAATAATAATAATAATAATAACAATAATAAAAGTAGGAACAGTCAGGGAATTCACCCAGAGGAATGCTTTGGGAGCCGTCTTGCTGGGAGAGGGATGTCTTTGGAATCACTTGGTAGCTGGTAGCTCTTGACAAGCAACAGAAGAGAAATTAGATACCTCAGCTATACATTAGTGCTTCTGCCCCAGGGCTCACTGCACAGAACATTCCATATCCCTCCCCACCCCCAGATACAGGGCCAAAACCACTGCCCTGGGTTGCATGCACCACCCGACCTTAGCCAGATTGTGTTTTGGCATTGCTCACTAAGAGCTTCCCTGAATCCTCTCCATCCCTCTCCCCCGCACCCCTGCTCCTGCTTTCTTGTCTATTAAGACAGACTTTCCTCCTTACTCCAGTCCTCTGTCATTCTAGACAGGGAAGAAAGTTAAATTCAGGCACGGCTGAGGAAGGAGGAAAAGACGCTTCAGTTAAATTGCTAATTAAGGAAGTACCAACCCGAAGAGCTCATTTGCACTGACCTATTTAAAATATCTAGCAGCCGATCACACATGAATTGAGGTATGGCCTTTTAGGCGCTAGCCAGCTGGCTTTCTTTCAGAATCAGAACTATCAATAATTCCACGAGGGGGACCATCTGATAGGAAATCAACCACTGGTCCCTGGAATGCCAGCATTCCCCCGCTGCTCTGTTTTCCCAGTTGTCAGCTCCGTCTATAAATTGTCCATTTATAGCAAATCCAGCACCTGCTAGGAACACCTCACCCTGCCAAGTGTTGGAGTGTGTCTTAGAAAAAGTCATTATAGACTTTTCTCCCCCAGTTCCTTTTAACCTTTTCCCAACCTGGGAGTTTGAATGTTTGCATAGGAATTTTAGGGGGGGGTGACTTTTTCTGCACAGGAAAAACTAGATAATCAAATAAAAGTGAGTGTTTTGCTCCACTTAAAAAAAAAGGAACGAGAAAGAGTAAATTATTGTTCTTGTGGGAGATACAATGCTGTCTTTCTGAATTAGCCAGATTGGGACACATTTAAAATAACCCTGAAAAAAATCAGCAGGTTCAAAAACCCCCAGAGAAGATTTAAGGGCAGGCGGCTCCCTTTAGATTCTATCATGGAGCTTTTAAGGTCATGGTCAGCATCAAACCTTCCATGCTGTTTGTTGCTTTAGAGTATTATGCAAAATATGTTTAAGGACACTTTCCTGGTACTAGAAGTACATCATACTACCTGGATTGAATTATTTTTCCCCTTGCCAATTATCTGTTTAAAGTGTCTAGAAGTGATTCTCAAAGTTTCAATACTCCTGTGATCTCACTCAATTTTTTGTTCTTTGCATGATGCAATATAATCAATAGCACGCAGACCATCTATGGAATGGAAGGCAGGTGCCTTTCTAGGGGATGATGATGGACAGATTAGCTGCTTTGCTAGACAAATTTGCTGAGTAATCTTGGGAAGATAGGGAGACCCTTTGGTGCTTCCGTTGACACATTCCCACAGTATTCCTGCTCAAGAATAAGACTGTCACCCTTTTAAAGCTGGAGAGGAAGAGCTTGATTAAGAACATGTGGCAGACGCAGCTGAACTGAGCTGAGGACATTCCTTAGTCCCAACTCTGCAGTCAAGAAGGTAGCCCCGTATATTTCAGGGAAAGATGGGAGTCTTAATATTTCCTTTCTTTTTTTTAATGTTGAGGTGTCTGGGTTAAAAAAGATACATGCAAGCTTATTGTTAGTACCAAATCAGTAAAGTCATGAGATCAGGAAAAACAGGGGTGGTTCCAGAAAGAGAATCAGAGAGCTGACGTTCCTATTGCCCTTTACCAACTCTTCCCGACACTGGAGACAAGGTGTGTTCCGTTTCACAGCCACAGTCTTCAGCATTCTGGTCCCTATTGCCTTGAGGCTTTTGCTATACTTTATACCCAACAAGCAGATCTCAGATTACACAGGCACCCATTATTTCTTTGCAAAATGCAACTGGGTTTCACCAATTCCATGCTCCTCTGAGACAAATCTTGCTTGCCCCCTTCCCAGCCATGCCGTAGCCACCTATTTTATCAACCAGGATTCTTTCTCTCAGCACACAAGTCAGCCCCTGTTGCTGAGCTGTTCTCTTGAGATGCCCCTGCTGGAGAAAGGAATGTGCAGATTAAGACACTACAAATCAGTTTGAAAACGCACTGACTCCTGCCCGTAAATCTGTGTCCTTAAATATTAAAAATCATTCGGAGGTGCTGAAAAGAAAGCTGTGATCGCTACAGAAAACGGCAGCCCTACTCTTTCCGGGGCACCAATTAGTAGTGGAGAGGGGTTAGGCCGATCCAAATCCATATTCGGCCACCAAAAATAGAAAGGGGAAACCTTTGAAGCTAAAGAAAGCCTAAGAATAACCGTCAGCAAAGCGAGAGCCACACGGACAGGAAGCTATGTTCAAGGAACAGTTTTTTGCTGCCTCTCCTCCCCCCTCCCACCCCCCGTAGCTTTTCACGTTCATCCTGTTAAAAAAGATAGCTTTCAAAGACTCCCCTTCAACACATCGGCCTGCACAGCCCGCCCTTCCACAGAAGCTCCGGGCCAGCTCTGGATGCTGCCTGCCCACAGGCCTGGGGTTTGGTGTCCCTTCCCTGGTGGCTCCTCTCAATCTGTTTAAAGCTGAACAGTGACTGTTTCAGAGACTGCGCTGCACACAGAACCCTCAGTAGGAAACAGCTGGCTGGGAAAACACTCATTTCCTGTTCGCCTTTTAATTTTACATCGCAATCCAAGCTCGCCTTCATCATTCAGTTGTCCCGTACTTAGGAAAGGCAAAATGAATGCACCAAATTGATGAGGTTTGTGAGATCTTTAGGGTCTTCAATGACACTAGACAAGCATATCATTGAACACATCCTATATAAGGTATCGGGATCAGAAGAGGCTTTGTAGTGATTGGCTGAGCAAGTGTAGGACCAAGTCAGGGAAAGGGCTTGGATTAAGAGGTGGAGAAGGAGCCTGATGTCCTTAGTGAGAAAACGGTTGGTGGGAGCTGAAAGAGATAAGGCAGGCAAGGAAGGAGACATCAGGGGCCAGGGAGTCCTTGCTGTACCCGAAACACAAACTGGAAAAGTGGGCCTGTTGCTTTGAGCACCCATAAACAGGGTGAGATTTAATTCCAAACCCTTAGCCTGCATTGTGCCTTACATGGGAGCCTCAGACAAAAATGTTCATAAGAGATTGAAAGGCCCAAATGGGGAACTAAAGACATACTTTACGGTAGTGTGTGTGTGTGTGTGTGTGTGTGTGTGTGTGTGTGTGTCATAGATGCTTCAATAGCATATCAGAAATCTGGCAGAAGTCAGAATTTTTCTAGTAGTTGGGGTTTAGTGGAGGACGGGTAGCACAGTTGATTTCTTCAAAGCAACAGGTGAAATCATGTCTCCTTTTTATATGGTGCCAGTAGCATTGGTTTTAAGGGAACTCTGTTGTTAATTACATCCAGTGAATGACTTCCAGAAATAATATGATTTTTGTATTTGCTTAACAGAATCAAGATCTATGCTTGGATACAAACAGTTCTAGTTATCATCTAAGTGCAACTCTCAACTAAATCACAGCGTTTGAGCTTCATATGCTGCTATTAGAAATTCTTTAATTTTTCTTTATATATGTGTGTCTTTGTGGGTATATGACATGTATGGGGGTATATGCTGTGTGTGTGTGTGTGTGTGTGTGTGTGTGTGTGTGTGTGTGTGTGTGTGTGTGTCCTCCCCAGGGCCAAAAGAGGGTTTAGGATCCCCTGGAGCTGGTTACAGGCATTTGTGAGCTGCTCAACTTGGGTGCTGGGAATCAAACTCTGGACCTTTGTAAGAGCAGCAAGCACTCTTAACCACTGAGCCATCTCTCCAGCCCCCACTTGGGAATTTTTATCTGGATTTATCTCAAAATTCAAGGAATGATCTACTGAAGCAACTGGTTAAACGTTAGTCCAACACAGGGAACATAGTAGGCCACATGACTCAGACTAAATTTTTATTTTATTTTATTTGTTAGGCCATGGTCTTTAATTTGCACAATAAAGTCTTATCAAATTCAGGTCCATGAGTTACATCACGGCTAGGAAAACAGAAGGTGGCAAAATGCAACATCTCAGAGAAAACCAAAGAGAAAGACTAAAACGGGCCCTTGGTATGTTTACTACTAAAACACGATGCTTGAGCACTGAGGCTAAAGCTCGGTGGTAGCGTGCTGGTCTAACATGTCCAATATGGTCCTGGGTTCATCCACCGCACCATCAGGCATACGCACACTCACACAATAATGTCCTCTGGTGACGGATAAGATGCTAAGAAAGGTTGGGAAGTGGGCAGGAGGCACATGGGAGCTCTGTACTTTCTGCTTAATTTTCTTATGGAACTAAAACTCCTCTTAAAATTAAAAAAGTCTATTAGTCAAGCATAATTGGTAAAAGTTTTAAGCAGTTTGTCTTCCAAGACATAGCAGATGCATTATGCATTGACCTGGTGACACCCTTTTACACGAATTTTAGGCAGGATGTATTTTGAACCTTTTAATACTATCATCAACTGTAGTCTTTTGAATTTTTTGGGGGGTGGGGAAGGTTGATTTGGTTTTTCAAGACAGGGTTTCTTTATATAGCCTTGTTGTCTTGGAACTAGCCCTGTAAGGCAGGCTGGCTTCAAACTCGCAGAGATCCACCTTCCTCTTTTTTTTTTTTTTTTTTTTTTTTAAATTTCAGCAAGGTACTTGAGAACTGGGCCCCGTGGGCTTCTCACTGA